AACTGTATACTTCAACGGTTTGTGAAATGCAGATGCAAGTGACCCACGTGCAGAGGGTTTCACTTTTCACTTTGTTGGTTGAATACGGTAAGGAAAAACAACCTTTCTGTCCAACCACCACCGCACAACTCTAACCTTGCAGGTGTGGAGTTTTTCCGCAACTGGTGCTGGTGACTATGATGAGACCTGCCTTGTTTGTTGGGACGAGGCCGGTACCTGAAAGACACTCAACTGGGATTGAGAAAGATTTGGGAAAGGGAAAATAACATAATATATAGTGACATTGTTGCTTAGATGTTTCCTTTTGCTTAGCATAGTGTCATTGTACATCAATGCTTTGGCCATCAAATTTATTGGTGTTGAAATTGCAGAAGTGTCCAGCTGTCCTTTCCGTTCCATTGTTAAATCTGACTGAATTCACAAAAATCATGAGTAATTTATGCAACGCGTTGTTGGATTTCACTAAAACTCAAATTATGTTTGGCTGGCGTGACTCCGAGTTGCAACATGCCACACGATGTTTGCTTCTTGCACTGCTTGCAGGCGACCAGCGATGAGATTCTTCAGCTCGGATGTTGCACCATTGGGCACCTGGGCCCAGTCCACAAACAATTTTGGGCACCCAATTCTGAAGCATAGGCACGTAGGTTGTGATGATTTGATCCACACAACTGTATCCAGAATCTAGATGATTTGGCACCGAAATGTGTATTGAAGGCTGCACAAAAACGTGACATATGATATATATATATATATACATGTACATATACATATACATACATATCTTATGTATCCACAAACAGTTTGTGATTTTGAATATATGGCTACCTGTGATTGTTGGTCAAGGCTTCATTGGTCTGGGCAACATGGGTCGTCTCCTCAGTACGGGATTTTGGTCGTTGGCTGGCCATCAGAGCCGACAGCCTTGAGTTGTTGAGGTGGTCCAATGGCCAGAAATCTTTTGAAAGCTGGTCACAAGGCTGCAAGTTTGAGCCCACCTGCTCCCATTTTGGGGTGACACAGTTATGAGTCATGACCTAAACTATTTTTGATGAATTATATATATATATTAATTATACGTACGTTACGTATATATATATATATTATAATATAATATAATATAATATCATATCATATCATATCATATAATACAATATAATATAATATAATACAATATAATATAATATAATATATAATATAATATATAATATAATATATAATATAATATATAATATAATATAATATATAATATAATATAATATATAATATAAAATATATAATATAAAATATAAAATATAAAATATAAAATATAATATATAATATATAATATATAATATATAATATATAATATATAATATATAATATATAATATATAATATATATTATATAATATATAATATATAATATATAATATATAATATATAATATATAGTGTATAATATATAATATATAGTATATAATATATAATATATAATATATAAAATATAAAATATAATATATAATATATAATATATAATATATAATATATAATATATAATATATAGTATATAGTATATAATATATAATATATAATATATAATATATAATATATAATATATAATATAAAAGATAATATATAATATATAATATATAATATATAATATATAATATATAATATATAATATATAATATATAATATATAGTAAATAATATATAATATATAATATATAAAATATAATACTTAATATATAATATGTAATATATAGTATATAATATATAATATAATATATATAATATATTATATTATATATAATATATAATATATCATAAAATATATATATTTCATAATATATAATATATAATATATAATATATAATATATTATATTATATATAATATATAATATATCATAAAATATATATTTCATAATATATAATATATATTATATAATTTATAATATATAATAAGATATATATAATATATAATATGTAATATATAATATATAATATGTAATATATAATATATAATATAATATTTATTACATAATATATAATATATAATATATAATATATCATATATAATATATAAAATATAAAATATAATATAAAATATAATATATAATATAATATATAATATATAAAACATAATATATAATATAAAATATAATATATAATATAATATAGATATATTATATATATAATATATAATATATAATATATAATATATAATATATAATATATAATATATAATATATAATATATATAATATATAATAAATATTTAATAATAAAAATATAATATATAATATATAATATATAAAATATAAATATATAAATATATATATATATAATAATATATAATATATATATATAATATAATATATATATTATATATATATATATATTACGATATATATATATATATTACGAAAACCAGCCGGGAAGCTGGCTAGCGAACGAAGTGAGAATAGGGGGTCTGGGAGGGGGTAGTTGCCAAACGGGTCAAAAATCGCGAAAATAGGTTGTGATTCTAGTGCGGGTAAAGTATGGTTTTGCAGGGTAATGTAACAGGCGGCAAAACAGTGACGGTGGGTATCGATTCCCCCTGGGTCCGGTTTTCTGGGGTTTTCTGGGCTCAGCCAATGGACAGATAGATGGGCCAGCTAGTTAGAGGAGATTGGAGAGAGAAGGACATTGGGTGGAAAGTATGTGCAAGAGGGGTTTCTGGGTGAAGAGTCTCTGGGTGAAAAGTATGTGCAAGATGAGTTTCTGGGTGAAGAGTCTCTGGGTGAAAAGTATATGGGTGAAAAGTATGTGCAAGAAGAGTTTCTGGGTGAAGAGCCTCTGGGATTTAAAATTGTTATGAGTGACAAGTATGTGCAGATAAGAGTTTTTCCTGGTGAAGATCTCTGAGTAAAAAAGTATATGGGTGAAAGTATGTGCAGAAGAGTTTCTGGGTGAAGAGTCTATGGGTGAAAAGTATATGGGTGAAAAGTATGTGCAAGAAGAGTTTCTGGGTGAAGAGTCTCTGGGTGAAAAGTATATGGGTGAAAAGTATGTGAAAAAAGAGTTTCTGGGTAAAAGCATATGCAAGAAGAGTTTCTGGGTGAAGAGTCTCTGGGTGAAAAGTATAGGGGTGAAAAATATGTGCAAGAAAAGTTTCTGGGTGAAAAGTCTGTGCAAGAAGAGTTTCTGGGTGAAGAGTCTGTGGGTGAAAAGTATATGAGTGAAAAGTATGTGCACGAAGAGTTTCTAGGTGAAGAGTCTCTGGGTGAAAAGTATATGGACGAAAAGTATGTGCAAGAAGTCAAGAAGAGTTTCTTGGTGAAGAGTCTATGGGTGAAAAGTATATTGGTGAAAAGTATGTGCAAGAAGAGTTTCTGGGTGAAGAGTCTGTGGGTGAGAAGTATATGGGTGAAAAGTATGTGCAAGAAGAGTTTCTGGGTGAAGAGTTTTCTGGGTGAAGAGTATATGGGTGAAAAGTATGTGCAAGAAAAGTTTCTGGGTGAAGAGTCTGTGGGTGAAAAGTATATGGGTGAAAACTATGTACAAGAAGAGTTTCTGGGTGAAGAGTTTTCTGGGTGAAAAGTATATGGGTGAAAAGTATGTGCAAGAAAAGTTTCTGGGTGAAGAGTCTCTGGGTGAAAAGTATATGGGTGAAAAATATGTGCGAGAAGAGTTTCTGGGTGAAGAGTCTCTGGGTGAAAAGTATATGGGTGAAAAGTATGTGCACGAAGAGTTTCTGGGTGAAGAGTCTCTGGGTGAAAAGTATATGGGTGAAAAGTATGTACAAGAAGAGTTTCTGGGTGAAGAGTCTCTGGGTGAAAAGTATATGGATGAAAAATACGTGAAAGAAGAGTTTCTGGGTGAAGAGTCTGTGGGTGAAAAGTATATGCGTGAAAAGTATGTGCAAGAAGAGTTTCTGGGTGAAGAGTCCCTGGGTGAAAAGTATATTGGTGAAAAGTATGTGCAAGAAGAGTTTCTTGGTGAAGAGTCTCTGGGTAAAAAGTATATGGGTGAAAAGTATGTGCAAGAAGAGTCTCTGGGTGTGAAAAGTATAGGGTGAAAGTATGGTCAGGCTAAGAGTTTTCCTGGTTGAAAATTCCCTCGGGTGAAGTATATGTGTGAAAGTAGTCAGAAGAGTTTCGTGGTGAAGAGTCTCTGGGGTAATAGTAAATATCGGGTGAAACGTATGTGCAAGCAGAGAGTCTCATGGGTTGAAAAGTATATGGTGCAAATATGTGCGCAAAAAAGTTTCTGGGTGAAGAGTTCTCTGGTGAAGATTTTGGGTGGGAAATGTCCTGTCAAGAAGCGGTCTGGGTCCAAAATTATGGTAAATAGTATTGCAAGAAGAGTCTGGTGAAGATCTCCTGGTGAAAAGTAGAATGTGTAAAGTATGTGCTCTGAAGAGTTTTCCGACTTGGATGAGAGTTTGGCTGAAAAGTTCTTTGCAAGAAGAGTTTCTGGGTAAAGTCCCCCGCTGGTGAAAATTTTCGGGTTTAAAATTAGTGCCAAGAAGAGTTTCTCTTCTGGTGAAAAGTATGTGCAAGAAGAGTTTCTGCGTGAAGAGTCTCTGGGTGAAAAGTATATGGGTGAAAAGTATGTGCAAGAAGAGTTTCTGGGTGAAGAGTCTCTGGGTGAAAAGTATATGGGTGAAAAGTATGTGCAAGAAGAGTTTCTGGGGGAAGAGTTTCTGGGTGAAAAGTATATGGGTGAAAAGTATGTGCAAGAAGAGTTTCTGGGTGAAGAGTCTCTGGGTGAAAAGTATGTGCAAGAAAGTTTCTGGGTGAAGAGGCTCTGGGTTAAAAGTATATGGGTGAAAAGTATGTGCAAGAAGAGTTTCTGGGTGAAGAGTCTCTGGGTGAAAAGTATATGGGTGAAAAGTAGGTCCAAGAAGAGTTTCTGGGTGAAGAGTTTCTGGGTCGTGAAGTACAGTGAGGCAGTAGACGTGCCCCAACTTCGGGCCGAAGACGCCGAGACGCCGCAGACGCAGACGCCCAAGACGCCCGAAGACGCCGAAACGACGCCCGAAGACGCCGAAGACCCAAGACCGCGCCGAAGACGCCGAAGACGCCCGAAGACGCCGAAGACCCCGAAGAAGACGAAGAAGACGCCGAAGACGACGCCGAAGAGGCCCGAAGAGGCCGAAGACGCCTGAAGACGCCGAAGACGCCCGAAGACGAAGAAGACGCCGAAGACGCCCGAAGATGCCGCAGGGTTCCGAACAGGAGTTTAGAAACTAACTCCAGATTTCATTTGTGTCGTTTTACTCCGACCATGTCCGACCAACCCCAAACTTGTCATTTTGATTTATCTTGAGCCATGTTTTATCTACCTCCCTCGGCCCTACAACACAACACGTTCAACATATGAAGCAAGTTGACCTGTCGAGTCATTCTGCTAGTCATTATCATAAAATTTAGTCCCTTCTCCACACAAAACACTATGTTCAACATATGAACCAACTTGGCATCTTGAGTCATGTTTGAAATGTCTTTTCCTTCCCCTACAACAAGACAATACGTTGAACAGATGAAGAAAGTTGGCATCGTGAGTCATGATTGAAATTGGACCCAACCAAGCAATATATACATTCTGGCCCCTACAAAACACAACGTTCAACATCGTTCAGCATGAACAAGCCATCTCGAGCCATGTTTAACAGGTCCTTTCCCTACCTTTGCAAACCAATACGTTGAATATATGAACAAAGTAGAAATGTCACGTCATCTTTATATTTTGAACTCCTCTCCTTCCCCTGAAAAACAATACCTCGAACACACCAAAGAATGGGCTTTCGATTTACAATTCCGTGACCCTATGCTGCAATACCTTGAACATGTGATCATAGTTGGTATTTTGGGTCATTATTATGATTTCATCCCCTTCCTCCTGCCCTGTACAAACCGCTACATTCAACATATGACCCAACTTGGCATCTTGGGTCATTTTTGAAATATACCCCCCTCGACCTTTCAATATGTTGAACAAATGAAGTAAATT